TTCGTATGCACATAAAAATATATAAAAATTGAAAACAAGAAAGAATAAAGATAAAGCAAATTGATCTCACAGTCCTGAAATTGAAACTTCAATTAAATCTTCAACTAAAAATTAGAGTATCTAGCCACTCATATTGAGTTTAGTACTCCAACAATTATTTAAAATTAGAAGAGGAAAGTTACAAAGAAAATTGAGGAAAACAAAATTATGCTCGCCATCTTCTTCTTTGTCCGCCTCCCCTCCTTTTTGCCTCTCTAATCCACCCCTATTTAAAGAGTGAAGTCGTGTGAAGATAGGGTTTTTTTCCTCCCTGATTTTTAACATTCTCTTTCTACTTTTAAAAAGCCCTTTAACTTGGTTTCCTGCCTCCAGATAAAGATAAATTTTTTCTTTAAGTTTGAAAGAATCTAAAAAAATTAATATTTGCTACTGCCACTAGAGTGCAAGCCTTGCATAAGGCTTAATCGTGTACGGACAAATTTCCTTATACAAAAATTAGCTCAACTAGGAGCTTTTCTGGAATTAAGCTTCTACATTTATACCTACATTAGAATTTAACAAAATTCTTTCCGTCAGAAAGTAATTGATTTAATTATACCCTCAAACTAAAGAACAAAATTGACATTTATGCACACTACCAACATTCATTAAAGGTTACAGCTCTATTAGCAAACCCTTAACATAGCTACTGAAGAAAACTAATTTTAGCTAAAAAGAAGAAATAGAGAAAGCATTAGAACCTCAAGAGTGCCATGACCTTGCATTGCTAAATTTTTCTCAACCATTTATTGTGGAGACTTGTGCTAGTGAAAAAGGAATATGGATGGTGTTTACGCAGAATGACAAACCCATAACCTTCTTAAGTAAAGTTTTAAGGCCGAAACACCAATCTCTCTATTTATAAAAATAAAATACTTATACTATTCATTACAGTCACCAAATGACGATATTACCTGAATCGACACCCTTCATCATTAGAATTAACAAACAGAGCATCAAACATCCATTAGAATAAGAGATACACACGGTAATTTAAAAAAAGGGGATTATTAAGCTTATGGGGCTGAACTACCCATTCACCATAAAAATGGGAGCAGAATAAGGTAGCAGATTCCTTATCCATAAGGGACTAATAATTCACTACCTTGGTTTTAGCAGCAGTATCAAATAGATCCAGGACACGAAAAGATCTTATGAAGAAGATAATTAAGCAAATAAGGGAATCACTGAATTATCCACTGATTCATAATCATGGCTACCCCACACATATAGCCACGAAATTCTGCAGCATAAAGGGAGAATCTGGGGTGGTAAAGGGAGAAAGGTACATGAAATATGCTAAAATGCTATCATATTTCACCTTTGGGAGGCGAGTTGGGTGTCTAAAGAATTCTAGAAAAGTTGGAATAGGGGTTCAATTGGCCGAAAATGAAAGTGGATGTAGAAAACTCAATGAAAAAATGTGATGAATACCAAAGGTATAAAAGGGAACATGCGGTGTACGTAGGACTATTGCAACCATACTAATTCTCAAGTAGGCTTGGACTCACATCAATATGGATTTTATTGAAAAGTTGGCCAAGTTAAAAGGGAAGACACAGTGATTATAGTGAAAAAATATGTTTAAGTATGACCATTTTTCAGTCTGGGCTCACTCATTTTTTGGCTTAAAGAGTTATAAAGGTTCTCAAGGATTATACTTACAAGCTACATGGAATACCTTGAAACGTCATTTTTTACTGAGATAAAATATTCACCAACACATTTTAAAAAGAATTACTAAGGCTAATTGGAACATAATTGAGAATGAACATGACATATCATCCCCAAATAGATGGCCAATCAAAAAGTGTGAAGTGCTATGTGAAAAATCATTTGTGTATTGCTTATTGAAAACCAAATTCATGGGCTAAATGGTGATACAATATCACCTGAAAATGACTCTATTCATTACACTCTATGGGTTCTCTCCCCCATTAGTAATAGAGTCAAGGGAATGGCAAAGTATAGTTGCTAGGAAAGATCAAGCACATAATTCCTAATGTTAAGATCCAAAAAAGTAATCTCACTAAAAAGAAACAATTTAGGAGTTGGAATAAGAAATAATTAAGGAATACATTTTCTATTCTATAATTAAGCTGTAGAGGAGATTTTTTATGAACAAGATGAATTAGGAAGAGATTTAACAACATAAACCTAAAATCAACATTAATGTTAACTATTTTTTCTTATATTTATAAATGATCTTGGAGTTGTGCAGTTTTTGCTTAATTTTCATTTAGTTCTTTTAGTTTTTTTTTAAATAACTATACCGTCTAAAAAGATTTATATAGCAAGTTATATATCACTAAGAAATTAATGATGAGAACCTTTTTATTCATACGAAAATTGGGGCTAATCGAGATGTTTGGTGACAAAAAAATAAGTTGTAGAGAGTGTGATTCACTATAGAGCTCCCTGAATGAATTTTGAGTTGAAAATTTTATATGTTTTTTAGATATTAGATTTCTTTAGGGTTTTTGTTTTCATAATTTTCTCAAGTAAATATATCTTAAGAAAAGTTTTTAAATTTCATAAAATTATTTTCAAAGAGAACGTGATTGATTCTTAAGATTTTAAAATTTTAAAATTCTGTAGAAAATATCATTACCATACTTTTAGTATTATTGATAGAAATGTATGCTATGGTATATGTCTAGTACTAAAAACTCAAATATAATATTTATGAGAAAATTGTGAAATACTCATGAAAATTAGATTGACCACTACTTAGAGAGTCTTGGTTAGTAAGGTAGGGAGTAGAACAATAGTGAGTAAAGATTTTAATTTGTTTTGATAAATAAGAAAATTATATGAATGTAGTTGATAACTAGACTTGATTGGATTACTTTCTTTTATTTGATTGGAATTAATAGTAAGATAAGTAATTTCTACTTCTTACTTGTAATTTGTTTCTTAATAATATATATACACGTATGTCGTTGGTAATGAATTATAAGTTCTCTCTTTCATAAACATATACACTACACACACACATGCAACATTTTAATAAAAATACCATGTAATACATGTTTTATTTTATCAAATTAAAATTTGAGAACTATGAATATTATTTTGTATATATAAGATGATAGTTATCTTGAACATTAAACAAAATAGACCTTTATTTATTGTGTTTTACATACTTCAGGAACTATTATGATAAAATTGTCATTAAATTTTTGTATACTTTTGTGAACTAGTGATTGTTTTGGAACTAATAGTTGTAATTTTTTTATATAAATTTTAGTCAAATAGATTTACTATGTAATTTTTAGTCTTTCTAATAGGGATTATGACTATTGTGGTCTTGCCAATAAAGATTAAATGTTGGTTAATAAAATCAGTTATATGATAAATAGAGGTTAACTTAGTTGATAGAACATGAATTAAATATTAGTTTGTGATTCTATCGTTGAAGGTTAAATGTTAGTTATCTCAATATGTTACTGTAATAGTAAGTGCTTCTGATACTATGCTACAGTAACAAAATAATATATCTTATATTTATGATTATCTTATCTATATTATATATTGTCTTAATTTATATTAGGAATAACTTTATTATATAAAAATACTATGTGTTGTACTGTTTGAACTTTACTTTTTGAATAAAAATGTTATATTTATATTATTTTAATTTTTATGTGAAAATAGTTTCATGAGAATATTTATACCGATGTGTTTAACATTAATGCTCAAATTTATTATTTTAAGTGAATATTGTTTTATGTGCACATACATAGACACACACATATATATATATATCTTTTTTTATGATGATGACCAACTATTGAAATATTAGTGTTTATACATTGTCCAGGTCATAAATTATTTAACTTTTTTTCAGATCTCGATTATGAAATTTGTATAAGATGAGTTATAGATTGGTCACTAAAGATTGTCTAAAATTTTTAGTTTATTTAAATATTATGTTTTGTGATTAAAATTTTCTAGCATTATTTTAATTTTGGTTTTTTTTTAAAAAAAAAAAACCTATTTACCTTATTAAAAAAAGAATTTAAAGTTTGAAAAGGCAAAAAAAAAAAAATTATGACTTTTATCAAATACTTACTTGTATCAAACGTATTGGTTTTTTTTAATGAGTATTGCATTTTTATAAAATTTTCTCATAAATATATAGTAGTATAATGTGTCTAAATTTTAGATTTAGAATGTTAAAATCTTGTATATTTTAAGCTTGATATTGTAGTTCAAGTAGAAGATTATGATGTAGGCATATATAGTAATTATACTTTTTCTAATAAAGTATTTGTTTGTAAATGCAATTATAGAATAAGTTTAGGTAAATAATGAATTGATGTTGTTTAGGTAATTCCCCAAGAAGTTCCCTCTATCCATGTTTTTATTAGAGTAGATTGAAACGTATGCGGAGTTATTTAAGTCGTAAAAAAATATAATTATTGTCGTAAATAATTTTATTGATTCAATTTTTATGTTGTAAACCTTTAAAAATTAATTATCTTGATGATTGATTACCTTCAAAATATTTGCAACCTAATCTTATGATGATTTCCAATGATTGTGCCACATTGATGAAACTTTTAGGAGGAACTAATTTTGTGTTATTTAAAGATAGACTAAAAAGTTTAAGTGTTTTAAGTTAGAATTAAATTATAAGTAAAGTTTTATTTACAAGATAAACAATTATGTGTTTGGATCAAACATGATACTAAAAATTAAGTAATTATTTTTATAAAAATTTTAGTACATGTGTATTTATTATAAATATTTTATTTCATATATTGTTCTATATTATTAATTCTAAAAAAATTGAAAAATAACTTAGTTCGTACATTTAAAAACAAAAAAGTCTGAAAAATTAAATTAAAATGCTTAATTTTCTTTCTTAAAATTATTTTTTATAATGAGAAAGTATTTTTTCTAAAAATTTAAATCAGTTTAGATTGCTTAACAAATTAAAATTCCACGCCCTTTGCTAGTCGCTACATGGACGCCGACATGAAAGTTCTTCCCAAATCAAGAGTTACTGACCCTGGTTTTACTTCCCCCAAATTTCTACACTCCATTGCAGACTCAATCAAGCTTTTGCCCATCAAATGGAACTCCTCGTATAATGTTCTTATTCTCCAAACTGTTCAAAATTCCTTCTTTGTCGTTCTTATCAAACGTTCATCGCCATCCTCGTTCCTTCTCTTCCTTTTCCCCGCTTGCTCTAACCCTAATAAACCATGTCTCAAAAGCTTTTCACCATAGAAACCCTTCCTTATTGAATCCTGAATTGGCCTCAAAGTTACCTCCAGCTCACGTAAAGCACGTCCTAATCACCCTCGAGTCCCGCCCTCATTCGTTCATCGACTTCTTCCGATGGGCCCAGAAGTCTCTTCCTTCTCTCCTCCCTGCACAGTCCTTCTGTGCGCTCATTCATGTTTTGATTCGCCACCGGATGTTTGCTGTCGCCGCGGAGGTATTCGACGAAATGATTCTTCGCTTCGGTAAGAATTTCGACGTTTTTGGGGCCATTCATGATGGTTTATGGGATTTTCACTCCAACCATAGTGTTGTTCTTGGGTTCTTGATGGAAAGTTTCTGTAGAAATAGAATGCTTGATCGGTCTGCTGAGCTGCTTGTGTATAGTAGTGAATTGGGTTTGCTTCTGCCGTCCAATTTAGTATACAAAATTCTGACTTCTTTGGTTGATACAAATCGTGTTGATTTAATTATTGGTAATTATACTGGATTATGTAGAGCACTGAAAGGTCAATGTTTAAGTGTATATAGATTTGTGATGGAAGGGTTTTTGAAGAGAGGTGCAGTTGAAAATGGAATCAGTTTTCATGGGGCCCTGATTGAGAGAGGTTTTGGTTTAGAAATTACTGATTGCAATAAGATTCTGAAGGGTCTTTGTGTCAGCAATCAAATAGGGATTTCTGCTAACGTGTTTGATATGCTTCTAACTGTTGGGCCGGAGCCAAATGCGGTGACATTTGGTACGTTAGTTAATGCATATTGCAAAGAGAAAAAACTGGATAAAGCATTGCAACTTTTTACACTTATGATAGAGAGGGGAAGGGAACCAGATTTAATAATCTATAGCACACTGATTGATGCCTATTTCAAAGCAGGGAGTTTGAAGGAGGGAAATAAATTCCTCTCACTGGCGTTGGTCAAGGGTATCAAGTTGGATGTGGTTGCAATTAGCTCGATTATGGATGCATGCATAAGAATTGGGGATTTAGGTATGGCATTTAAGGTCTACAAGAAGATGGTGAAGGAGGGAATATCACCTAATATGATCAGTTACAGCATTCTTATCAACGGGTTGTGCCAAAATGATAGAGCTGTTGAGGCTTCTGGGGTGTTTTGTGAAATTTTGAAATGTGGTTTGGAGCCCTCACTTTTAACTTATGGCAGCCTCATTGATGGATTCTGCAAAGCAAAAAATCTGAGGGATGGACTTCGTCTGTATGAAGATATGGTAAATAGGGGACATGAACCTGATGTTGTTATTTATACTGTGTTAATAAATGGGATTTGCAAACAAGGACTGATTGGAGATGCTCTCAGGTTCTTCTTTAAGGCTTTGAGTAGGGATCTACAACCTAATATCTTTGTTTTTAATTCCTTGATTGATGGTTTGTATAGATTGAAATATTTAGGTAGAGCTTTAAAAGTTTACAATATGATGGAGATGTTCAATATAAAACCTGATCTGGTAACCCTTACTGTGCTTATTAAGGTGAGTGTCATGCAAAGGAGATTGGATTTTGCATTATTGGTTTTCTTCCAAATTCTGAAGAGGGATTTCACCCCTGATGTAGTTACATATTGCACTCTCATTGATGGATTCTGCAAGCAGAATAATCCAGTTGGTGGGTTAAAGATTTTTGAGCTTATGCTAATGAATAATATAGTTCCTGATATTGCAATATATAACGTTCTATTGAATATGCTTTTCAAGGAAGGTCATTCAGTACATGCAATAAAACTCTTTGATCGGCTTATTGAGATAGGACCAGAGCCAGATATTGTAACATACAACACAATGATATGTGGTTACTGCTTCTTGAAAAGGTTTGATGAGGCAATTTCAGTTTTTGAGAAGCTGATATCTGGTCATTTGGGACCCAATGCAATTACTTATACCATGTTGATTGATGCTCTCTGTAAGGAAGGTAGAATGGATGACGCGGTGTCATTGTTCTCCCAAATGTTGGAAAAGGGCCTTACACCTAATATTGTCACATATACTTGTCTAACTGATGGATATTTCAAATGTCAACATATGAAAAATGCATTTGAGCTTTACAAGGAGATGCTTGAGAATAATCTCTCTCCAAATATAGTTGGTTACAGTGTCCTTATTGATGGTCTCTGCAAACAGGGGCTACTGGGGAAAGCATCACTTATCTTTCATCATGCGTTAGACACGGATTTATTGCCCGATGTAGTTGCATATACAATTTTGATTCGTGGTTATTGTAAAGTTGGGAGATTAACTGAAGCTATGTTGTTTTATGAGCGAATGTTAATCAATGGCATTAGACCAGATAGCTTTCTTCAGAGGACTCTTGTGGAGTATAATCTTCATAATATTGCAGTAAGGGAGTTGTATGCATAAAGAAACAAGTTCCTCATCATACATGGTAGGAAATACCCCTTCTAAACTTCCAACTGGGTGTTGCTAAATGTACAGTACACATAATGATTCATACTTCCACTTGCTAGCAAATCTTAGTCGAAATCTTTACTGTAAAAAGTTTATAATAGCCTTTGAAAGGTTGCCACTTTTTCTTTCAGTTTGATATGATTAACTGTAGAACTATATCTACCTGCATGTTGAAAGAAAAATTAGGATCTGAAAGTAGTTAAGTTCTAGCTATTCACAATAATTTGAAGGCTGCTAATACAGTAGGCTTTGAGAAACTAGAGAACAGGATCAGCTGGTATTATAAGCTTTCTGGTATCATGTTTGTGAAATGAGCAGGGAAAATTCTTGTTTTTTTTTTTTTTGCTTCGATTTCCAAGAACGAATCTTGGAAGTGGACATCTGAAATTTTTGTGGGCTAATAATCATGGATTTCGCTTGATTACTTAATACATTCACATCAAGGTATGTACAAATTGTATAGTAATTTCTCAAATTCTATATTCGGATTGTGAGAAGTGGAAGGAGAGAAAAAGGAGAGGTTTACCTCTTTCCATTGTTTGGATAAAAGATAATAGTGAGCATCTCCCTCTCCTTTCCCTTTAAAAATCTAATTATTTTATTCTTCTAAATTGGAAAAGAAAGAACTTAAAATTTTTAAGAGAAAATTTATGTTTTGTTGTTACTCAAATTATCGTTCTATTAATGGAGAGTGTTATTGATCTTTTAATAAATAATTTCTTATTTTCCTTCTCTCAGTGTTTTTTTTTTTTTTTTTCTTTTAGTTTTTAGTTATCAAAGTTGAAGGAAATATTTTCTTTTTCTTTGTTCCTTTTATTCTGTTCTGTTTAAATTAAAAAATTAAATAACAAAATTTAGTAGACACAAGTACATATGTAATACTAACAAATAATATTAATGTAGATTAATATTAAATTTTTGTCCTTCACAATATTAATATTAAAAATTAACATTAATAATTAAAAAAAATAAGAAATGTAGGATCTAATAAAAACTTAGTAATTAAATTTACAAATAATATATACCAATTTCTGGATTATTAAATGCATTTAGTTGTTTAACGTTAGTATATAAATATAGATTAAAAATAAAATAAAATGTTAAAATACATCATAAGAAATAAGATATTAACCATAATTTTTATAATATTTATTAATAAATTTCTTATAATTTATTTTGAAATTTGAAAAATAAAATAAATATATTTAACTTAATTATGTTAAATTATATCTTTCAAAAAATAAAAATTATATATTCTAACCTTTTATTTAGATGATGAATAATTAATATAAGATACAGTAATGTCATAATTTTATCTTATTTAAATTTATTTTCAAACATGATATGATTATTAGGTAAAAATTCATGATAATTTTAACTCTTATTTTAGCAGATTTTGCAAACCATCGAATATGTGGTTTTTTATGGTAATATAGTTTTCTTTCATTTATAATATCACCATATTTTATTAATTTCAGTTATACCCATACTAAAACTTTAAGTTCATTTTTCTTAAAACCGAATTGCTTCTTCTTCACTGTAACTTCCATCTTCTGCTTCATCTGTTTCTGCTTCTTTTACCCAACTGTCTCTTCTTTCTCTCCTCGCGACCTCTCTCACTTTCACTTCCTCTTCCGTCGCATCTCCTTCCCTCTCTTCTCTCTCCTTCGCACGGTCACTGTCGATACTACTCAATTTTCCTTTCTGTAACAACCCCGGAAACTCTAAAGGCAATAAATTATAAATTTAGCGCGGAAGCGAAATAATAAATTAGGGTTTATATTCCTTACATAATAACTGATAAGTATCAAATTAGGCTTATAGAAATAACTCTTCTAAAATAACAACTAATAACCAAAGAAATAAATTAAAAGTAAATAAACTAAATGTCCTACTCGTAACCTTCTTGTGGATCGAACTCTGAATCCTGGTTCTCTTGATCTGAAATGGTTAATGAAAGAGTGAGCTACACTACCCCAGTAAGAATATCACGCTACTCACCGACACAGAAATGAAGATTGGTAGAAATCATAAAAACAACTAATTGAGCTCTTAATTTAAGTAAATTCGTTTATTATAAAAAAAATATTTACCGCATACTTACCGTATCGAGATTATTAAAAAAAACCTATAGAGTCAATAACATAACACATATCATAATTTTATATGCGATCAGTCGAAACAACAACCTTCCCTTTTATCAGCCTACTGGTATCCATAGAGGTCCATAGGGATAACTGTAACGACCTCGCTACGCGTGAACCCTCTTTTTTATATTTTCAATTAACGAGCCGTCCTCATACCTCGTCTGGTATAAGCGTCAAAAGATATCGTCCCTCAATACCCCGTCGAGTATGAGGGTGAAACGGATCGTCCCCATACTCCGTCCGGTATGAGCGCTAAATTACCAAATCTTGATACCTCATACGGTATGAGGTAACGTTCACGGTAGGGTTTCCTATGTACCCGGTATGTTCACCATCTCCCAAGATATCCAGTAAAACTGTTGTTTCATCCGTCCACGTAATCAAATAATTTTCTGTTTACCTTTAATTTCTAGTTTTCCAATTCAACCGTAGTCACAGAAAACAAAAAAAAACATGTATCAAAGGAATACAATCGTATCATCATACCAATTTTAGTGTATTATCATGCACTCGAAAACTGTAGCATCAGGCAATCGGTTAAACATAGCAAACAATAGTAAATAATCGATTCTGACTCCATTAGTGACCTATAATTAATTATGAATATTTTTTAAGTTTTACAAAATACCACATTATTTAAAATTAAACTTCAATTCCATAACAGGAAATAAGGTGAGGTATTCTTACCTGAATTGGTGTCCGAACGCTAAGTTTTGACTGCGACTATTGGCGATCTTCGAGTTCTCTAAATTTTTCTTCATGGATTAAAATACATTTCAAGTACCTAGAAATACTCCAAATAACCCAAAATTAGTGTTAGAAACTCTTTTTGGCTAATTCTGGAATTCTGGCAAGGTGGTTCCGCCGTGCTCCGACGACAGCACCGCCGCAGTGGCAATTTACCTCGGATTGGCTATTTTCAGCCGTTTTCGGCCAAATTCAGCCGATTTTATACCAATTCTGACAAGAAAACACATTAAGAGGCCTCGATTGGCCAAAAAAAATTGAAAAATTGAACCTTATCGACGGCAGGATTCTCTGGTACTGTAGCTCTGCCGGTTCACCTTCGCGGTTGTGTATTTTGCTTCAGTCAACCTATAGAGAAAGGGATGGTGATCACAATGGTGAAAAATTATATGAAACGGGAATCAGGTAGGGCTTCATCGGATGCAATTTTTACTTTTTTCCGCAGTGGTACTGCTGGGCTTTGTCCGCGGTTTCTGGCCAATTCGCCAGTTCTGTTGCTCCAATTTGGCTATGGGGGTGTTTAAAAATCCAATTCCGAGCAAAAAAATTTTTTTTTACCTCGTTTGGAAGTCGGAAGTGACTCCCACGCAGCATCAGGCGGCTCTCGTC